GTTTAGGGTTTAGGGTTGCAGGGACTTACGCATTGGCATCTAGCATTGGCAGCTCAAGGGCAACCAGCTTGTTGAAATGAACAGGTCTGATTTCCTCCATGACTTGGCATGGAAACGAACTCATCTACTCAACGCTGACATCCTCTCCCAAACGCTTCTAAAAAGGTAAAAAAAAAAATCCAGTGCAGTCCCGGGCTTCATGGCTGCCGCGGACGCCCTGGCCTTGGCCAGAATCGGGAGGTAACCGCTGAAGGAGTTGACGCCACCCATGCCAGTAATAAGCGAGATAAGCACGGTGACCACGTCTCCACCCTCTTTCTCACTTGATCCAGCCAGAAGTCCGTGGCCTCCTACATAGAGGGTCACTGCGTAGAGCAGCGCAAAGACAAAGTTGAGGCTGGCCCAGGCCAAGCCGATTCGCACACCGGCCCGTACACCGCCATCCCGCGCCTCCGTCAGCTGAGCGGCAAAGCGCGCCTGCTCGCGTTGCTCGCCTCCGAAAGCGGCCACCGTGCGAATGCCCAGCAAACTCTCCTCGGCCACCCCGGCAGCCTTTGCAAAGTCCCTCTGCTGGACAGTCATGTTCTCTTCCATCTGCTTGCCCATGCTCTGCCCGGCACAGAAGAGGACAGGCAAAAAGGCGCAGACGGACAGGGTGAGCTTGGGGCCATGAATCATGGCCACTGCGACCCCCGACACAAACTGGCCCATGCTGGAGATCAGGTAGCCCAGGCCAGCAGACATGAAAAAGTGAACCGTCTCGACATCACTCTGCAGCCTGCGTTGAGACACGAGTAGACACACAAACAAAAAGTGTCAAAGCAACATCTCTGGGTGGAAAGCTGCGCACCCGGCATGCAACTCGTGCATGGAGCTCAGCTTTGTACACAGGTGAGACCTCTGTTACCTCTGCGCTTCCCTATATTCTGCCTAGAATCCCTGCATACTCCCAAGGTCCCGAAGTGGCAGTTGTTTTGAGAAAGCTACATATATAGTGAAGGCATGGCCCAATCCCAAGGCACTTTGAGGACAGTCCAGCAGAATCGCTCTCGTCAAACCAGGTGATGTCCAGGGAGAGCCTTTGTCGACGAGTCCGGGGCTTCTCGCGTCACCAAGGTTAGGGTGTCCAGAAAAGAGCTCCCCTTTTCGGGAATTCCCAAAATGAGGATTTTAATACTTTGCGGTCTATATTGAGGTCCAGGGGTGTTGGGGTCTAAGCTCAGGCGTTTTCAGTTCGGGGTTGTCAGGACACAAGTTTAGGTGCGGGCAGGTTTGGCAGCTGTTGGTGGGGCCCTTCCCGGAATCTTCAACCTTTACTGGATCGCCATCGAGAATCCAAGGGACATGCGGATTACAAGCGTATCATGGGGATTCCTACGAAGCATTCGTTCAAGGTAATTGCATGCTTCCCACATCTCAGATCCCTCAACCCTAAACCCCAA